TGACTAAAGGGTAACTACAAGCTTGGGATCAGTTCTTATTAAGTCTAATTGCATCATTAAGCAAACATAAATGGGGACCTGCAATATTCTCAGGGGGATCCCTTCTCCCTCCTGGCTTGGGAGGAAACACGGGTTCCACACACTTAAAGGGAGAGAGATGGGTGGCTGTGGGTGTTGGGGGTGGGGCTTCCCCCGCCGGCCATCTGGCCGGCAGCGGGTAGAACCCCCCAAAAAAATGGGGGACCCCTGGCAAACCGGGGGGGTTGGCAACCCTACTAGCCATATATACCAGGGCAGGGAGTATAGTTTCAAATGGAATAACGATGTGGCATGGGAGTGGTGCAGCTTGTGAGGGCTGGGACAAAGACCTCTCCCTTGTCCTGACTCTGAAGCCTTCCATTTATATGCCAGTACAGAGGTTGTACTAGGTAAGTATTGGCATTTTTCCCTTTTGTGGCACCCATCTCGAAATTACACTAGTGTCAGGGTACACTGCCATCCTAAACCATTCAAAGACAAGGTTTAGGATTATGCTGTATTTGGCTAGCTACAATCTAGTTCTCTGTGTCCTTTGGTTATCCTGTTAATATTAAACCCAATGAATTCCTTTTTCTCTGACTGTGTGTTTCAGTTTCATATCTATTTAATGGATTTTTGGCAGGACTCCTGGTGTTTACAGATTCCTGAATATTTATTATGGCTGCAAGTTTTAATTGGAGCTAAAGCTAATGAATTTTTTTTAGTGTACGTCAGATTTTAATCTGTGGGGCTGAGATTGAAAAACATTGTTTATATCTGAAGCCCTTGTAGCTTAAAAAAAAAAAGATTAAAGATGACCTTTTAGCAAGTGGTTGGTAATCTCTGTTCAGTGAAATGGGAAACCAGTGTGGTGTGATGGTGAGAGTGTTGTTCTAGGATCTGGGAGACCCAAGTTCAAATGCCCACTCTATGGTGGAAGCTTATTCGGTGACGTTGGGTCTAACCCAGGGCTATTTTGGGGCAGGAACGCACAGGAACGGAGTTCCGGCTGGCTCCTGAGTTGGCCATGCCCAGCAGGAACCTCATTAGCATAATAAGCCACACCCAACATCAGAAACTCATTAGGATTGACTACATTAGGGGTGTGTGGCCTAACATGCAAAGGAGTTCCTGCTACAAAAAAAGGCCCTGGGTTTTGACAACAAACAAGGTAAACAGAATAACAAGCAAAAGGTGGGTGTGGCTGGATGACCACACGTCTGGTAACACGGGGGTGTGGCCTCATATGCTAATGAGCTGTGCTATCATGGGTGTGGCCTAATATGCTAATGAGTTCCTGCTGTTGGGTATGGCCTATTATGCTAATGAGTTCCTGCTGGGCTTTTTCTACAAAAAAAGCCCTGGTCTAACCTACTTTACGGGATGCAGTGCAGGAGAGGAGACTGATGAAAGCACCTTTGGGTCCCCACTAGGAAAAAAAGTGAGATCATAAATATCTAAATAAATAAATAATCCTTTATAGGGTTGCCATCCTCCAGTTGGCACCTGGAGTTCTCCTGCTATTTCCGTTGATCTGCAGCTGATACAGATCACTTCCCCTGGGGAAACTGACTGCTTTGGAGGCTGGACTCTATGTCATTATACCCTGCTGCGGTCCCTCCCCTCCCCAAGCTCCACTCCCAAAATATCCAGGTATTTCCCAACCCAATGCTGGCAACCTTATCCCTTCGATATCTCAAAACGTTTCAGAAATATGCATATTACCAAACCCATTTGAGATACTGTGATTGTATTGTGACATAATCAACCTTTCTATCTTCAGGCTCAAAAGGCAAAAAGCTTCTTTTCATTTAAATATTCTTTCTTTCAAAATGTTTTTAAATTCACTTTGTAGATTTGGAATTAATTGGCAATTTCACCCATAATGGGTTGAATCCAAAGGTGGCTTTCCACTCACAGAGGAATGTTCCATAAAGAGTTTTTTCCATCTATGAATATCACCTTCTGTCCATGGAACATTTTTTTCTAAGAATTGTAGTTTCAAAGGTAGGAGAGCACCCTAGTCTCCCTACCTCCTGATTAGCTTGGTAAGAAGGCCAAAGCAGATTGTTTTTTGCCTCGCAAACAGTGCTTTGGTTTCACAAAAAGAAAAAAAGGAATCTGTTCAGTATTTCCTGTCCATTTTTGTGAGCTGTTTGAAAAAGACAAGCCATACATAGTCCCAAAAGCAAATTCCATAATGAGGCAAAGCCTTTTAATCTAAATTGGAGGCAAGTAATTGCAGCTGGTACACGGGTTGTGGTTAATTATGCCTTCTCATTCTGAAATTATTATATCAGTTCTGAGAAACATGAACCTGCTCTTGAGAAATCATCATAGATAGGCTCAGAAGTTATTACTTCAGGGTTATTTTTGCCCCAGCCACTTTGTTTCCAATCCTTTACAATTTTCTGGTATATTTCAAACAAAGTTCACTAACTTAAAAAATCTTTTAAAAATGTGAAAAATTAAAAATCAATAAATTGTAATTGGGGAAGAGGTAGGAAAGCACGGCAAACCCTTCAGGTTTTTGTTGCTTGTACCTAATGCTCTGCTTAGCCTTTGAGTGCTGAAGTGTGGAAGCATGTGTAATGCAGTGCCAGCAAAGTTAACTACTACGTACCTCCCCCTGCATGCTTGCAGATATGCTAGAATAGTGGGGCCGCTAGTGCTTCACAGTTGACAGTGCAGAGAGACTGCTGTAGAATGATGGATGTCTGCTGGAATCACACCCATCCTTTTTCAGAATGTCTGTCTATGTACACCTTACAAGTGAACAAGCTGGTTGCACTTTCACATTCATACATCAAAGCACGTGTCATATCTTTATCTCATTGCTTTTAAGGAGCGACATGAAGCTGTGGTGCGACGCACAATCGAGAGGAGCCAGAAACTGAAGCAGAGGCAAAATAGGTGGTCCTGGGGAGGTACACTTCATAGCAACAGCAGCATTAATAACACAGGTAAAAAAGGGTACCTGGTGTTTCAGGTAGCATCTATGTTCTCTTGCTGATATAGGTATAGATCTTTTTGAGGAAGTCTCTCTGCAGACTAAACTGTGTTGAGTTCTTTAATGTAGGCTTTATATGTACATGCTTCTTACCTTTTGTGCTGAGCCAAAAAAGAAGTTGAACTAATACTTGCGTTAACTCCATCTATATATGTGCTTAATTTTGTTTGTGCCCATGTGAACTTGTCTGTCTGTCAACAATCTGTCTAAGCTAAGTTAAAATAAAAAACACCAACATACATTTATTTTCCTGGACATTATGAGTATTTTAAGAACATTATACAATGTGAAAGAGGGAAACAAAGAGAAAGGATGCATTTTGTTGCTAGAAAGCTGCCATCTTTCCTCTGAAGATGCTGGTGTTTGCTGATATGTCAAGTAATAATATAATGCTTCATCTTAATATTTTTCCAGTGTATCAGTAAGTATATTGACAGGGGGCTTTAATTCTGAAGCAGTTCCCTAAATACTTCCTCAATAGCAGGAAATTGTACATGTCTGTTAAATCTTTTCTCATCCTTCCATGCAAACACACTAATACGTCTTCATTGCTCACAGAGTGAATATGTGTATCATTGCTCTTATGAAGACTAAGAACTAACACTATTTCATTGTGCTGCAGGATCAATAAACAATTGCTTTTCCATAACAATGCTCTGCCTTTGCTCTTTGCTTCTGTCCCTTTGCTGTTCTTTAACTTTTTTCCCCCTTTTCTTTTGGAAATCATTGTCTTGCATTCTGTCCCTAGGTTATTTTGTTGAATCATCATTCACCTTTCTCGATTTAGCAGGCTTGGAGTACCACTTCAGACCTCTGGGTGGTGCTAGAAAACCCGGTACATAAATCACTGTGATTTGTTGATTTCATTACCAGTAGATATCTCCCCAGAATAGGACCACAACATCAGTAGCTAAACAATCCTCTTAGACTCAGTGCATGCCTAACACCTGCTAGATAGACCTGAATTGTTCGATAGCCCGTACTGTCTTCCTCAAGCTTACCAATTTGTTTCCAGGTGACTTAAAGAATGTGTGGTACAGTTCAAAATATAGTATATTGTTTTAAAGAAGTTCTCAGTGCAGTTCCATGCAGAGATGTTACAGTCTATATGGATTTCGACTGGAGTATCTCTGCATAAGATTGGACTGTCAAAGCCCTTTCCAGCTCTGGAAGTCATCAGTGTTGCTAAAAGCCCTAAGTAAAAATTATTAGTTTTATATGATGTTCTCTTTCTCAATTCTTAACTTTTTTACTGTCAGAAAAACTTTTCAAACTGTATGCTTACCTCTCCGTGTCCTTGAACCATCTTTTCCGTTCTCCATATGGTACATTTATTGACTTAGAAGAAGAGCATGATGCAATGTCAAACTGCATTTTGAAACCTAGTCAGGATTTAAGAAAATCAAAATAAATCATATTGTAGTAACACAAAACATATGTGCATCACATTGTTCTTCAGTCTACCCACTCATTGGTCTCTCTTTCTGTCCTCCTTTCCAAACAACTTCTGTCTAATAACTCCATGGGTATATCTGCTGATGCACCCCTTCCTAGCACTTTGTTAATGTTTTCTTTCTGACTGCTGACCTGCCTGTGAAGGGCTTTGCATGATTGCTCTCCACACATGCTTTCTTTTCTCAAAAACAGTGGAGGGAGGTAGTTTTGGGTAATGGAAGAGGGTAGGTGATTGGTGCGTTATAAAAGTATAAAAATTCCAAATGCAGGTACAGGCAACTTGTGTGTCCATGCTGACCCTGTTAATTTGCTGAAGCTTCTAAAGTTTAGAAAGCGACGAAACAAATGATCTCATGGGATTACAAAACAGCCATGATAGTGCACATTTGTGTATATAAAATATAATGGAAATAAGAGACAAGGAAGCAATGTCTGTGTCATCACACTAACAAGAAAATTAAAGCTCTTCGTAACAAATGATCTAATGGGATTACAAAACAGCTATGATAGTGCACATTTGTGTTTATAAAATATAATGAAAATAAGAGACAAGGAAGCAATGTCTGCGTCATCACACTAACAAGAAAATTAAAGCTGTGATAAGGTGAAGGGGCTGCAGCATGGAGGCTGGGAGGAATAGGACATCTGATCCGTAAAGGACACTTTTTGGTAAAGCTTTTCTTTTATGAGGCACCAGGCTATATTAGAATTATGGCCCTGTGGTGGTTCAAGTGGTTAAGATGCAGAACTGCAGACCAGAAGGTCGGTAGTTCAGCAGTTCGAGACCTGACTGCCGCATGACGGAGTGAGCTCCCGTCTCTGGTCCCAGCTCCTCCCAACCTAACAGTTTGAAAGCAAGAAATTGCAAGTAGATTAATAGGTACTGCTTCGGTGGGAAGGTAACAGCGTTCTATGTGCCTCAGCGTCTAGTCATGCCGGTCACATGACCATGGAAATGTCTTTGGACAGCACTGGCTCTTTGGCTTGCAAATCACTGCATCCCTAGAGTCAGATTCAACTGGCTTTCGAGCAAGCAAACCTTTACCTTGGGATTATAGAACACAGGACTCAGGACTGAAGTCTCACTCATACAGCATGAAAATTGGCTGATAGAGATCAGTCCTCTGTAATGTAATTTATCTACAGGAATTCTTAGGGCTGAATTTTGCTCCCTCCTTTTCTCTCATATTCATCATCTTTACTGGCTTTATCCTTCCTTTCCCAGCTTTCAGGTGTTCACATTCATAAACATTGTGGTTCACAAGGTTGCTTTGCTCAATGGACACCTTTTCCTTATGGTTTTTCTTAAAGGATTCAGATATTTTTAAACGTTTTTCTGTTTTGTGCAGGCCCAACTCAGGACCTCCTGCTGTAACACAGCAAGATGGAATTGAAAATTTCAGTGTTTATGATCAATTCATTCAGCTTTGCCTACTAAAAACTTATATTCTTGCCGGACTGAATGACTAGCGCTGCCATTTGAGATTAAACAACCTTGTGCACATTCTTTGAGTCACCTATAAAATTTCCCTTGAAAAATCTTCCTATTTTTTAAGCAACAGAGGGGGGGGGAGAAGTAGCCCTCTTTACTGTTCCCTCTAGAGGACTAGGAGGTTGCATTACTGCATGTAGGCTGCCAATTAGCATTATTTCCATTTGTTTTAGATCCAGACAGGCGGTCTGTTTCAACAATGAACCTTTCGAAACATGTTGATCCAGTCATTAACAAGCGGCTCTCTTCCTCATCTGCAACATTACTAAATTCTCCAGACAGAGGTACAGTTTGAAGGGAAAAAAACTAATACCTGAAAAGGAAAGGACTAACATGTTCTGTATTGTGACCATGACCATTTTGAGAAACTTCAAGAAGATCTGAAGTCATTTTATGTACATTATTTAAGGAGGAAAGAAAATTTAAAAAAGGGTTTGAACACAAAGTGAATTGAATGGTTGGCCACATTTCGGCAAGAAATAACCCCCATGCATCACACATTTGAAATATCAAAACTTGCTTGGATCCGTACATTTAACAAGTACTAAAAGCAGTGCTTCTGTCAGGTTTTTTAGTAAATGAATTAAAACTATAGAATCAGTCCATCATTCCATATTGCATGGAATCCATTTATTATTTCTCCATCACCACTAGACCACATTCATATGGTTGTTTTTCCCCCCAACAATTTACCAAACAAAAATCTTGAATTTCTTAAGCATAATAAAATTGCTGACGTAAATTGGCTAAGAACGATTGATTTTGGTATTGATTTTGGTATGTTGGCTAGCTTTATTCCAAATTATATTTTGATCTCTAAAAAGAAGGAACTGGGATATCAGGTGGTTACGTAATCACTTACCATGCAGTATTTCATCTACCTTAATAGAAAGTAAAAGGAAAAATCGGTAAGTTTGTCTCCAACATTCTTAAGAAATTGACGTTTGTGATATAGCTTATGTGAACCAAAATATCCAAAGGATATTGTACATTGTTTGGAGTTAGAACTACAGTTTGGGACAAAAGATTGATTAGATTTTTAGTTATATTGTGAAACTGGTTGGAAGGTCTCAAACATTCGCTAAACATAATGTTCTGAAAATCTGTGGTTTTTCTGTTTAATAATTGTGTGTGCTTTTCTGCATGTATGGTGGTAAATGTGTGCATATGTCATGCTTATATGCCTTGCTAAAATACTGTAATATTAAGCTTTGAAATGTTACCTTAGGGCTACTAATCTGGCTGTGCAACCTTTTAGGCAGCAAAGCACAATTCTTCAGAGTGCTGTTTATATTCAGGAAAAGCAGTTTCTCACTTCTTATATATTTGCTAACTTTTCAGAAATTTTCTCTTTGTAAGAACTCTTCTCTAAGGTTTGGCTGTTTCAGGTTTACAATAGAACACATTGAGATATAAGGTCTGTAGTTTGTGTCTACGGTGGCTCAAGTGGTTAAGACGCTGAACTGCAGGCTGTGGAAGGTCTGTAGTTCAGCAGTTCGAGACCCGAGTGTGCCGCATGACGGAGTGAGCTCCCGTCTCTAGTTCCAGCTCCTGCCAACTCGACAGTTTGAAACAAGAAATTGCAAGTAGATAAATAGGTACCACTTCAGTGGGAAGGTAACAGCGTTCCGTGTGCCTTGGTGTTTAGTCATGTCGGCCACCAATGCTCCCTCTAAGCTGCAGAGTCTTGTGAGCAAAAATTCTACCTTGTGAGATGCTGGCATTAAAGTTGTGAGCGAGTGATATGGCTACTGTATACATTAGTTTGCTCTGGAGCCATCCTTCCTGAGCGAAGACAGAAATGTGTGAGCCGGAGGCTAAAAAACTGTGAACTAGCGCACGCTAACTCAGCTTAGAGGGAACACTGCCGGCCACATGACCACGGAAATGTCTTCGGACAGCACTGGCTCTTCGGCTTTGAAATAGGGATGAGCACTGCGACCCTAGATTCGGATTCGACTGGCTTTCGAGCAAGGGAACCTTTACCTTTACTAGTTTGTGTCAGAAATTGATGATAGATAAATGAGTCAGTTTACAGCTGATAGAAATTTGAGAGGAATGGTAGGTATGTCATGTGCTTTGCTCCTGAAAAGTGTGCTCCTTAAGCATATTCCCCGCTGTCCTTAATGTATTTCACGTACATTTTGCTGTCAATAAGCCATCGTATAGCATGTAAAATGAATGCAATAAACTTATTGCTTACTGTGAAAACAAATGGTGAATTTCAGTGATGTTCCTTGCCCAGTCCTTCAGGTTCCCAGCTCCCATATCTGGAACGTGATTAGGGTTCTGGAAAGCTGGGTGTCATGAATTCTACGAGCTTGGTTTCATCCAAAATTCTGGCAAGGCCTGATGATGTTGTCCTTGAGAATGTTTTGAGACAAGTATGTTAGGATCAAAAATAGCATGCTGCTTGGTTATGACAAGGAACAAGCTCTGTCATATATTATTTGAATGGGTTGGATCCCGCACAAGCATTGTGCAGTGACTGCCCAAGGATCAGCCATCTCCCCCCCCGCCCCCAGCAGTCCTTTCTGACTCTGGGAAAGTTTAATCCCAGGGTTGCGGGTCCTGTGTGGACTAATAGCCACGTGGGTCAGGAGGTTGCAATAGGGAGGGGAAAAAATTTCCTGCTTCCCACTCCTTACTGCAGCCCACGTGGCACTCCATGCAGTTCCCACAACCCCAGGAATAAACTTCCTTGGAGACAGAAATGGCTGCTGAGGTGGAGGGATGGTGAGTTTTAGTGCCTTCCACTGACAGATCATGCAATGCAACCCAAAGTTTCATTTCCATTTGGGAGAAGGGAGTAATTCAATCCAATAATGAGACATTTGGGTTGTAAGAATTTCATTCTTCATGTTGCTTGATCAGTTGCTAAAACTTTCAAATTGTATAATCTCTCTCTCTCTGTCTCTGTTGCTCTGTTCCTAGCAGCTTTGCTAGCCAGTGGGTAAAGTCACTTTTGAATGTTAAGTTTCAAAAGCAGTTTGAATTGTACTGTGAAGCACTCATATTAAGGAATAAGCTGTATGGAGCAGATCTTGTGCACTCTTTGAATCATTTACCTTACTGACAGATCATGCAATGCATCGCTAAGTATCATTTCCATTTGGGAGAAGGGAATAATTCAATCCAATAATGAGAAATTTGGGTTGTAAGAATTTCATTCTTCGTGTTGCTTGATCAGTTGATAAAACTTTCAAATTGTATAATCTCTCTGTCTCTGTTGCTCTGTTCCTAGCAGCTTTGCTAGCCAGTGGGTAAAGTCACTTTTGAATGTTAAGTTTCAAAAGCAGTTTGAACTGTGAAGCACTCATATTAAGGAATAAGATGTATGGAGCAGATCTTGTGCACTCTTTGAATCATTGTTAGGCTTCCCAAGTCCCCCCGGGGGGCGGGGAAACCCCCGCCCCAGAGGCCTGTTCCCCAGCGCCCCCGGGGGGAACTCCTCCCCGACGTGCGCGTCACCTGGAAGTGACGCGACCACGCCGGGCACGCTGGGGGCGGGGCCACGGCCATCCGAGAGAGAACTCTATGGTTTTCCCTTGCATGGCTGTGGCCCCGCCCCAGCGTGCCTGGAGTCGTCACTTCTGGGTGATGTGCATGCGGCGCGCGCGCACACACCAGACGCCAGCCAGGAGCCCCCCCACTCCCAGCGAAGATCGACTTGGCAACCCTAATCATTGTGTTAAATACAAATTGGGTCTGAAACACTTGTAAAAACATAGAATAGGCATGAAATTAAACATAATTTTAAAGATTTTCAAGTACAGAGCTTTTTAATTGGAAAACGTTAGAATTATCACTTGCTAAATCTCCACTTCCATTATACAGATGTGTCTGACAACTCTATATAAAGAATTTTTGTCACTGTATTTGCTGCTTCTAGTCATTTTTGCTACTGCATGTGTGTAGACTGGTTTTTTATATGCTCTCTTTATTCTTGTGACAGCTATGGTGTTGCACGAAACCTTTTTTTCCTTTGGTAGGGGCATGTGCTTTAAAATTTTCCCATTTAAATCATTTACTGCCCCACAAAGCCCACTCCAGACATACCCCTGCCTTCGACTGCTATGATAGCTTCAATACTGAGGTGCAAAAAACAAGTCTAGAAATGAATAGATTGAATAGATTCCACTCTGATGAAGAGTTCCAGAGGGACATATAGGGAGAAATCCCAAACAGGTCTACTCAGAATTAGATCCCATGTTATTCACTGGGCCCTACTCTCCGGAAAGGATCGCAGCCATCATTTCTCAATAGATAATAGATGGTACCTGACCCTCTTTTTAACTTGTAAATTTCACTACGAGATGAATAGGGAAAAATCTTGTGATAATGAATAATGACAATTTCAGCCAGTTGCTGAGCTTTACCTAAGCAGTCCTTGGTTTGAACACTACATGTATGCTCTATGCCCAACTGTTCCAGAGATCATACAGAGCTGTACCCACCCAGAAGGGAACTATATTGCAGTCAGCATCAGTTGCACTGTTTGCCAAGTTTTATGGCAGCACAGATTCTCCTCCATAATATAATACCCTCTAGAGGGCAATTCCAGATGGCTACTTCTGTCCAGTGACTGTAGCACCAGACTATGAAAAGAGCCCCATGCAAGACATAGCTAGCTGCTAGAACTGAGTTTAGATTTCTGAAATAAGCATATATTTTATTCAGTGGGGAAAATGTTTTGAAAAGGGGAGAACAATCAAGACTAAATGGGATCTTGAGACCACATTTACGAAAACCTCTGCAAAATATATTTACAATCTGTTTTGCATACTTTTATGGGAACCATTCGGAACCGCTTCATAAATATCCTCACTAGAAAGTAATAGCACATTATAACTTTTTTTCTTGGTATAGTGGTTTTGGTTCAAAACTATTTACCTTCCAAGTAGTTTCACTCTGCTCATGGAAAAGGTATTAGTGGTTGTCTTTACTGATGTTTAACCTGCAGAAATGGATGTAGGGTGTTCTTCATTATTATTTTGATTATGAGAAGTTAATTAGGCTTGTTGTTAGT